AATAAGACGCCCTTCAATTTTTAGCGTAAGGATTTTAGAAAAAAGTATCGTCTTATAGTCGCAAAAATACGGTATGTGGAATTTTCTATAACTCTAGTTTACAGGAGTGATAGAAGAAATCATTAACCTCAGATTAATTTTATATTAACCTCTCACATGCTATTCTATTTTTAATTCAGTGTTCTATGAGAAGTATTTCACAGAGTTATATTTCAAGGACTTGGGTGGAGAAATAGATTTCTTCTATGTGTTTTTATAATGTGAATAAAGGTGCAAAAATGCATGAACAACTGAAAAGCAATCCATTTAGAAGATAATGTCTTTGAGAGTTCTAAAATTACTGGTTTCCTCCTCTTTGTAGTTTGGCCGATGGAACATCCTACCTTGTACCAATAGGCTTAAGTTTGTGTGCATGAAAAAAGGAAACGTTTTAGATGAACGAAAATCTGATAAAGATTGTTCTCCAAATGAGGTAAAGACAGAACAAAAACTTCTGTATATATTTGATGTACCCAACATATTTGCTGCTTTAGGCTCAATAATAAATATAAAATATAGCCTTGAATTATTGGGATTTCTGACATAGTCAATAAAAGACTAAGCATCTGTCTTTTTTGTGGTATCTTTGAAAGGATGGTACATTTTTATAACCATGTGTAATTGATTTCTGAGTAGTGACAATTTTTAGTTTCACCTTTCTGTCTCTGTAGAAATACAACAGATGTGGCGGTAGTGGTGGTGATGATGATGATGATGATGATGATGAACCTCCTCTTGGAGGACAATATATACTTTATTAAAAATACATCATTGTTTTACAGTTGAAATGTCCAGCTTGTCCTGTTTGATTTGCCAATGGGCTATCCATTTGCTTTTGCTTCCCTTCGCACAAATGAGTAAAACTAATAAAGAAGTGATTGCTTATTCTGACATTTTCTAGTTTCTTGCTCTCAAACAATCAAAACTCAGAATTTATGTTATGTTATGTTATCTTGTGTTGTAGTAGCTCCCCTGGGGGCTAACATTCATTTCACATTTCGTTTTTGAAGACTCATTGGTTTATATTATTGTTGGTCGCATAGTCAGCCAGATATTTAGACTGGATTTGGCATTTTATCCACCTATCAAATCCTTCCCAAGGACGGGCAGATGTTGTTGTTTGATGGTGTCAAAGGTATCGTTGCAGGATGTAAGCTGTTCCAAGTAAAGCTGCCTTTTGCAATTGACTGATGGTGATTTTGTCAATGCTAATGGTCTTCAAGTGGTGCTCCAGATGTTTTGGAATTGTACCCAAGGCACCTATTGACTATTGGTACTATCTTTGCTCTCTTTTGCCACAGTCATTCTATTTCTATTTGCAGGTCTTTGTATTTTGTGGTTTTTTCCAGTTTTTTTCTCTTCTATTCTGCCATCTCCAGGTCCACTATCCAGACTTTTTTGTCTTTTTTATCCACAGTTTTTAAGTCTGGGGTGTTGTGCGGCAGGTGTTTGTCTGTTTGAATTCTAAAGTCCCAGAGCATTTCAGCTTCTTCATTTTCTATTACTTTGTTTTGTGGTCGCACCAGTTCTTGCTTGCAGGCAAATGGTATTTCTCACAGATATTCCAATGCACTGTTGCTACTTTGTCATGCCGTTGTTTGTAGTTAGTCTGTGTGATCTTGCAGCAGCTAACTAGGTGGTCCACTGTTCTTCAGCTTCTTTGCAGAGGCGGCATTTGCTGTCTGTTGGTGTCTTCTTCAATTTGGCTTTGTATTCAT